CCTTCCTTAAATTCCAAATCACTGTCAAAGTTAGGGACTTTCAAGTATAACTGTCATGAGACATAAGGAATACAAGACATCAGGGCACCTGGGTGGCTCAGTCCTTAAGCGTCTGCCTTCGGCTCAGGTCATGGTCCCAGGGTCCTGGGGTTGAGCCCCGTATCAGGCTCTCTGCTTGGTGAGCCTGCTTCTCCCTCTCCCTCTGCTGCTCCCCCTGCTTGTGCGTGCTCTCTCTCTGTGTCAAATAAATAAATAAAATCTTAAAAAAAAAAAAAAAAGAAATACAAGACATCAGCTAGTTCATTGCAATTCTGGGCCAACTGGTTAATGGTAAAATAATGAAGACAATGTAAAAAATTCACGTCAGGTTTTATGTAGTTCTGATGATCTAAGGTAAAAAAATCTTTAACTGACAGTGGCAAAAAAGAAAAAGGTTTTTTTTTGTTGATCATTTATTTAATAACATAATGAAAAGTTGAAATTGTTGTAAATGCCCTGACAGACAAAAATGGGAAACAACAATTTTCTTTATGAAATTTACTGGCACTTATTTACTCAAATTTCTGGAGCAATGGGCTGTAACTTTTTTAAAAAGAGGAGGGGCTAATGGAACATTTTCCCCTAGCCTTTCATATTTCTTAACTTCCTTCCTCTTTTTGTTCCTGTAACTTTTTTTTTAAGATTTTATTTATTAGGGCACCTGCCTTCGGCTCAGGTCATGATCCAAGGGTCCTGGGATCAAACCCCGCATCGGGCTCCCTGCTCGGCAGGAAGCCTGCTTCTCCCTCTCCCACTCCCCCGCTTGTGTTCCCTCTTCGCTGTGTCTGTCAAATGAATAAATAAAATCTTTAAAAAATAAAAAAAGATTTTATTCATTTGTCAGAGAGAGAGCACACGTAGGAGCATGCACAAGCAGGGGGAGCGGAAGACAGAGGGAGCAGACTCCCCTCTGAGCAAGGAGCCCCATGTGGGACTCAATTCCAGAACTGTGGGATCATGACCTGAGCCGAAGGCAGACTCTTAACCAACTGAGAAACCCAGGCGCCCCTCCTGTAATTTTTTAATGTTCCAAAACAATAAAAAATTACTATTGTATTTTTCCATAAGATCTGCCTTGGGCTCAAAGGACGAGTGATTCTGTACCAAAAATAGTGACTGAAAGTTATTCTGTTTGACTTAAGTGAAACCAATTGGGTAAGAATCCTAGACCAACCATTAAAAGACCTGATTTCTACACCTGTCCCCCATCAATCAAAGCCACTTTGTACAAATTACTTCTTTTCTCAAATTTTCTTCCTGTTGCTAGATAAATGAGATTCTATTTGTGAAGATGTTCTTAAGCACAAGAGAACTGAAAGTAAGGTTATTCCTTTTCATTCTGAATAGTACTCAAATAACATAAGAAAAAACACATACCACATTAAAGCACACATTCAAAGATAGTACTAGGAAAAGACGGTACAGAAACAGCACAGAAAAACCAAATGTTGTGATTTAGTGGCCATGGTACAATCATGCTCTTCTTCCATTATACAATGGAAAAAAAAATGCACTTGTCCTGAGGCACATTCAATTGTGCTCCATTATGGAAGCCACCCAAAATCCTTTCACTAGAACAAAATCTAAGATGTTCTAAACTAGGGGCCCCTGGGTGGCTCAGTCAGTTGAGTGCCTTTGGCTCGGGTCGTGGTCCTGGGGTCTTGGGATGGAGCCCCGCGTTGGGCTCCCTGCTCAGCAGGAAGCCTGCTTCTCACTCTGCCCCTCCCCCTGCCCGTGCTCGCTCTCTCTCAAATAAATAAAAATCTTAAAAAAAAAAAAAAAAAAAGATATTCTAAACTAGCTATGACAACCTCAGCAATGACTCCTTTTTTTTTTTTTTTTTAAAGATTTTATTTATTTATTTGACACAGAGAGAAAGACAGCGATAGAAGGAACACAGCAGGGGTAGTGGGAGGGAGAAACAGGCTCTTGGCTGAGCAGGGAGCCCGATGCGGGGCTCGATCATGACCTGAGCCAAAGGCAGACGCTTAACGACTGAGCTACCTAGAAGCCCCAGCAATGGCTCCTTTAAAGTAAACTGAATACTTAAGCAAAGAAAATTAACCTGAATCCGAAATGTTTTATTCAATAAAAGACAAAATATTAGAAACATGAGAAACCTACAGAACCACTTTACAATCAAGATACAGTTAATAGCATATTTGTCGCCCTAGAAGGTAACAAGCATTTTTTTAAAATTCGCAAAATGGACACCATCCAATTTTAAGTATATGACTGAATTCAGGCTTGAACTGGAAAATTAAGTGTAAATGAAAGCCTTTGCTAAATAACAACTCTGGAGGATCAAAAAGGCACCTTATGTGTTCTGCCTGACCTTAATCTGAGTTTATGATATTCCCAAGTGGGTTAACAGAGAGCAATACCTTTTCAGGAGTTGGATTTGAATAAAAAATGTTTGAACTGCCCCTAGGTTTCAGAGACAGCCCAAAAAGGTGAGAGAGGGAAATAGAAGGAATATGGGGCCTGGTGATCAACTGGTCTCTTTCTGCCACAATGGGTAGTAACTACTGACTCAAATGTTTACCACATTCATTTTTTATCTCGTTTTTTTTTTCCTAGCTCCTGCTAATGGCAGACTTACTAAACAGAGGCTCCAGGATATACTATCCATAAAAACACATGAAGTAAGCCAAAGAATGTCATCTACCACCTAGGCCCCCAACACTATTCAATTCCCACCCAAAAACATCTTCCCTCTCTTTTGCACCAGGTAGGCCTTTTCTGGTCTTTCTCCTCTTCCTGGGAATTTTCCTCTCAAATTTGACTACTGTGGAACACGGCTGTTTCATCATCAAAAACAGAATGAAAATTCAAACAGTTAATTGATAATTTAATTTAAAAGTTTTCCTCCCATAAATATTCTCACACCTGAACCTGTTTCATTAGACCAATGGACAAGTTGCAAAATACTAACAGAAATTAGGCAAACTCCCTATCATGCTTTATTATATTAACATTTTTGTGAATAAGATTGTTATAGTTTTTTGTTTTTGTTTTTTTTAAAGATTTTACTTATTTATTTGACAGAGAGATAGAGAGACAGCACAAGTAGGCAGAGTGGCAGGCAGAGGGAGAAGCAGGCTTCCCGCTGAGCGGGGAGCCCGATGCGGGGCTCGATCCCAGGATCCTGGGATCATGACCTGAGCCGAAAGCAGCCACTTAGCCGACTGAGCCACCCAGGTGCCCCAAGATTGTTATAGTTTTAAATTTATATCCTCAAGGTGGACGTTTAGTGACTAGTAAATCTTCTATTTACTTATATACTAATAATATCTACTAATGCAAGAATCAGAAAACCAGTCTAGGACCAACCACCTATTTTTGTAAAGTTTTATTAGGAAACACAAATTTAGGAGGAAGGGAGAGCAGTTTAGGAACATCGGTTAAAAGGAAAGAGAGACATCGTAAAGTGAGAGTTAAATCAAATCAGAGCTAAATCATGACATTACTTGAAAACTGTTAAGGGCTCAGATTTAAAACCACAGATTAACAAATTCAATCAGTGGTACTGCATTTTTTCACACAGAAGTTTTGATGATGACAGCGTGATTTCAGAGCCTAATGAAACAGTATTTCCTAAGTTCCAGCTAAAGCAGCAAAAATCTGACCTAATTTTTGCAGGTTAAAATGTCTGAGCCCCTGGTTTATCTGAGGAAGACAAAAACCCCTTCCAGCCACAAGAGTCACGATAACAAAAGAGCTCTCCCGGCATTTCTCACGAAATCCCATGAGGAATGAAGTAATTTCATAATTGCATAACCATACCCTTAGGTCAAATTTAAAACCTATTTTGAGTTTGCACCTTTCTGGATGAGTTAGAGATTACGTGAACAATGGGTTACCTTCAATATCTAATGTATTTTTTACAACGTTATTTCTTCAGTGTCACGCTCCCTATTCAAAGTCTTCCCTCCTACGCTAACCTATACTTCGTTATTTCTAACCCGACAAGTGAAATTAACACAGAGAGGCAATAAAAACGTGATTTGCTAAAACAGGATCAAGTTACTGCAACGCCACTTCAAGTACCACCGGGTAAACGCGAGACACTGAGCCAAAAGGCAGGCCCCAGGGTTCGACGTGCCAACCTCCCAACCTGACCGGCCCCCACCCCAGCGAACACAAACGACTTCGCCGCCCCGCTCACCTCTGCAGCTCCTCCTCCTGGATCCTCTCCTCGTCCCACACGAACACGCCAGCGAGCGCCGCCATCAAGGCAGAGGCATGGCCAGGGCGGCCTCGCAGCCGGCGCCAGAGGCGTCCGAGGAGGACGCGGCGCGAGCTCTCCGAGTAGAGGCGGCCGTACAGCTGCGCGATCTGCTGCGCGCGCCGCACACGCAGGCCCGTCACGAAGCGACACTGATTGGCCAGCAGGGCGAGCAGGCCCCCGCCCCGCGCCCCCGCGCGCCCCACCGCCGCCGCGCCCGCCAGCCAGGCGGCCAGGGCCGGCGGCCTCCGCAGGAACATGTCGTCTGCGCGCGCTCCGCCCAGACTCCCCCTTACTCACCCCCCCCCGGCCGCGCGCCCGGCGAACTAGGCCTCAGAGGGCAAAAGGAACGAGCCCTGGAAGGCGCTGCGGCCTGATGCCAAGTGCTCCTAACTGGCCGACCCCGAACTCGTCTCACGATCTAACAGGCTTTTCATCTCTCTCTGCAGCAACCGCTGAGGAAGAGTCCCCTTTGCGGAGAGAGTCGGTCATGGCACAGCAGCGGGGGTGGCCCCGCAACCGCTGCCAAGAGGCGTTCGTAGGCTAGGGCCGCGAACCCGACGGACCGACGCCGGTCAGCCCCGTTGGCCCCCTGCCTCCTTGGCGTCCTCAACCCGGCTCCAGGGCTCGTGGTGTAGAGCGCCTGGGAAGCAGCGAGGTGGGCGGCTCAGTCGCGGCAGCAGGTGAGGTCCCAAGCGTTCCGCGTCCGCCACATGCGCTGCTCGCCTACAACCTACCCTCTTCGCGGCCGCCCGGGTCCTGATTGGGCGCGGCCCGGGCTCCTCGGTGCTGACTGGCGCTGCCAAGGACTCGTCACCGCTCCTTCCCGCCCCTTCGCGCAGCGTGCCGGGCCCCTGGCTAGCAAGGTAGGTGGCGCGCCAGAGAGCTAGTCAAGGGCGCCTGAGATTGACCCGCAGACCCGCCATATTCCCGCCACCCGACCCCACCCCGCGGAGGGGCGCGACCGAGTGCCAGTTCGGTTCCTGCGCGGTGCTCTATTCGTCTGAGAGACGGGGGAGCGTCGCCTCTTTTAGTAATTTGAGTGTAGGGTGGGACGGGGTCTCGGCATTTCCTCTGCGGAGTGCTGGGGGTGTCCAGGTTAGGGGGGAGGGCGGGGGCGGGACGGTGTAGACGCGTTTGGTGAATGGAGACCCTGCTGAGACCTAGAAGAAGCTGCCATCAAAACCTTCGATCTCTCCAGCTGGCTCTGCTGCAAGGTACCGAGACAGTCTCCGAGGATCAGAGTCTTAGCACTCATCTTCTCTCCGCGAACCCCACGTCGCTAGAGTGGGCCGTTGTGACATCCTTAGAGCTCAGGACACTTTACAGAGAGTTACGTGGGCAGGTGGCCTGTCGCAGGCTGGAAATGCGGAAGCCTCTTGGTAAAAGGGCAGCAGAATGGAGTTACTTAGGGCAGATGCCCCAGTTCGGCTAGTAGCTGTCCGACTCCCTTGACTCAAAGGTAACAGCGTGAGAAGGTGAACAAGTTTCCTGAAACCTACTTCGCACCACCCATGAGCACCCTGGCTAAATGACCTCGAAGGACATTATTATTCTGTACCCAAAAATGAAACTGTTGGATGTCCAGTAGGAGAACCTTACACTAAATTGTTTCCTTAATTTTTTTACAGTTACATTAATACCTTAGGGACAAGAAAAAAATATTGATACAAAAGGAGTTGTGCTCATTCCAAGATAATGCATTTAGGAATTTTACTCTTACTGTAGCTATTTGAGCAATTGTAGGTGTTCTTAATAAAAAGTGTTTCTCCAAAAAGAAAAAAATTAAGCTTTACTGGACGCTGAAATTTAGATCTATCCCGTCCAGACTGTCTGATTTTACTCTGGGGATTCCTATTGATATTTCTTTTCCCTTGAAAGCAAGTAAGGAGAAGGGGTATATAACAAAATAGTATTTGAAGCTTTGTTGAGTCAGGCTTTTCTCAATGATGTGAGGAGGTATGGGGAAAGAGGTTGAACTTTCCTACTGTCTTGCTTCCGTTGATTAAAAGCTTAGCTCTTCTGCTGGTTTGGGGGTTTGGGGTTTTTTTTTTTTTTTTCTGTTTTTGTTTTGTTTATCAAAATGTATTCTCAGGAACTCCAGCTGAGCCACTCTAATCTAGCCATTTTTCTCCATCTCTATTGCCTCTTTTCCTTCAGTACATAAACACAAGTCCACCTTCAAAAAAGCTTTGGAAAAAAAAGACTTTTAACTCCTCTTTCCAGATACCACCTTTCTCTTTCTTTTCAGAGCTATGATTTTGTTTAAGAGAATGGCATAAATAAGCTTGCTGTCTCCATTTCTGTGCCCACTTATCAATTCTTCCTCTTTAGAATTTTATAAATCAGTTTGTTCTACACCATTCTCTCTTCCACTTTTTTGTTTAGGTCCTAACAGTATTCTATAGCCTGACCTCCCTTCCAATCTATTATCAACAAACTGTTTTTGCTTGTGTATCTCCAGAACAAGTTGAAAAACTTTATTCCCTTTGTATATTTTTAAGTTGACCCAAAATTCTTCATCATGAGCTTGTCTTATGTAAGTTAGCTTCTGCCTTTCAGACCCACCAAAACATTGAGTAGGCCCAGCAATAATTCATTAGTAAGACGGAAGTAGTACATCCAGAATTGGGTATGAACAGGATCAGAGGCACAAGTAAGCTATACCAGCAGGTGGCCTAGACATCCATATCATCTACCATTTTGGACCAAAGCCTCTCCATCAGCCCATACGTATGGCTGCATAGGAAGTGACAAAAGAGGAAAAAAAGCAAAACTTGATTTGCAGACAGGTCAGAATGGTATGTGCGTACAAGCAGAAAATGAACTGTGGCTGTACTGTAGCCCTACCCTGAGGTGATCTTGAAAGACAGTGGCCAGGGAAATTCTGCCAATGAATAAATCCTCTCAGTGGTACACTTGGCCATTCACTTTGTGTGGAAAGAAATGTAACCATAGTTAGAATATATATGGACTGGCAGTTGGCTTGGCTGGTTGATTCGGGACCTGGCAGGAGAAAGATTAGAAAGATGAAGGATGAGACGGTCTGGGAGACCCGTATGTATTTAGATGGACTTTGTGAGTGGGCACGAAGTGTGCAGATGCCCACCCGAGAGTATCTACCAAGAAGGAGGCACTAAACAACCAAGTAGAAAGAATGACTCACCAACTGATGTCAGATGCTATCAGCCACTTCAGTACCAGCACAGTGGGCATGTGAATGGAGTAGCCATAGTAGCAGGGATGGGAGTAATACATGGACCCAAGAGCATGGGTTCCCACTCAAAGGCTGATGCCACTGCTGACTGTCTAGCCTTGCAGCAATGAATCCAATGCTGAGCCCCCCAAATGGCAGTATTCCTCAAGGAGAGCAACCAGGTGCTTGACAACATTGGATACTTTCCACCCTGGAAATGGCATCAATTTATGTTGACTGGAATGACTACATTCTGGGTGTGGTTTGCCCCTTCTGTCTGTGGGGCCTCAGCCAGCACCAATATCTTCAGTGTTGATTGAGTGTCTGACCCATTGACATAGGATCCCACATAAAAATGCATCAAACCAAAGGATCCACTGCACAGCCTTGGAAGCAGGACAGTGGCACATGACCATGGGATCCACTGGCCTTACCACAGTCTGTACCATCCAGATACCAGCAAGAACAGAAAGAAGGAATGGCCTGTGAAGGCACAGCTGAGGTTCCAGCACAGAGATGGTACCAACTAAGGATGGGATACCACCTTCTACAACACAGTGTACATTATGTCAACAGTCAATATGGTGCTATGTCCCAATAAGAATAGATAGGTCCAGGGAGCAAGGGGTGGAAGTAGGAGTGGCTTCACTTACCATTAAGCCCAGTGATCCCATTGGGTATTTCTGTCACTGCAAGTCTGAGCTTTGAGGATTTTGAGGTCCTGGTTGCCAAAGTGGAAGTCTTTTCATCAGGGGCTATAGCAAAAATCCCACTGCACTTTAATTTATAAGTGCCACTAGGCACTTTGAGCTCTTCATGCCAAGGGACCAGCAGGCAAGAGGCAGGAGTCACCATCCTGGCAGCAGTAATTGACCCTGATTATCAGGAAGAGTCAGGGCTGCAGTTACACAATGGGAGCAAAGAGGAAGATGTTTTTGGCATCCACAGTCCAGCTGGCTGTCTCTTTGTTATACCCTTCCTCAATTTTGATAGTAAATAGAGAAGTGCAGCAGCCAAGGCCTGAAAAGGACATGGTGACCAGGCGCTCAGCAGAGGTGCTTCCTGAGGGTGAGAAGCACCTAAAATGGATGGTAGAGGAGGAAGATAACAGTTGGGGGCTCAAGACCAGCTGTAGTGGTGGGAAATGTGACTCATCCCATTAACCATCAGCTTCCCCCCAAAAAATCAAGCTACCCCCAAAACTTATACAAAGAAATGGATCTGAGTAGTAGGCATAAGGAATATTGGACACAATGATATGCCATCCAGGTCCACCTTCAGGACTGAAGGGCTTCTTGCCCCTTGCTACTTTGAGTATTGTTAGCGAACAGCCCTCAGTTATCAACCCTCTTCAGGAATTGCCCTCAGGTGATAGATTTCCTCACCCAAGGTAACACCTTCCTCTCTGGGGACAGCATGCATCCAATGACTGGCTGAAGCTAGCCTATAAAGGCCTGATCCCCCCACCCCAATTCAGGACAACTCGAAAGGCCATCCCAGCTTCAGAACTTCTCCCTCTAACCAAGACTACTTCCTTCCCTTCCTCCATACGTGTTGAACCTGAGAGCACCTCCAATACAACATGCTAATCTTCCATCTCTGTCTGCTGCTCAGGGGATCCAACCTGAAAGAGCCTCTGTCATCACGCTCAGTAGAGTATGTCTGTCCAGAGAACTGGTACTGGAAGTCAGGTCATGGGCTCTCTCTGCCTGGAAAGTACTATGGACACTGCATACTCCCCTCCAGATGATTTTCTCTGGTATCCCTTCGCAGATAACCTTGCCCTCTGACCTGCCCTTCCTCATGGCAGGTTCCTCATGCAGGCTCTAGGTCCTACACTGGACATCATCTCTCCTGGTTTGGGGATCTAGGCAGAAGTAGGAAGCACCAATTTATTGACTTAGCAGCATAGATAAAAATCATTTCTCAGGCATTATACCTGAGGATAGGCATTCCCCAGAGAATTAAATGGGCCTACTATAAGTTAATTAGGCTCTGATGCCCATGCCTTGGTCCCTTTTCCCCAAGTACTTGGAAAGTAACTTGTCTGAGTCTGAGGCAAACCCTGGACTCCCAACTGTCAAGCAAAGAGGCAGCAGTAATTGCCTTCTCTTCCCTTCAAAATGGTATGTAACCCGAAGCTCTGTTCATCTATTATTCAGAACGGAAAGCATTGACAATATTCATCCACTTACTCATCCATATGTGCAATCTTTTCCTAACAGGCAGTTTCCCTTAATTCACAACTTAGAAACAATCCATGAAAGCATCTGTTTTTGTCATCAAGGATAGAGCTGTATATGAAACCACCAGGTTAAAGACACCTCAGGTCAGCTCTTTCAGAACCAGATCAAAATCCCTTGGATAAAAGAGACTCATCCCAGTCCTTAAACAAGAGATTAGTGTGAGCCTAGGGCTGCTGTTGGCCATCTTCACCACCTTTAAGGAGACTGCCTGGGCCCATGAGCAGACCAGAGAGAGAGAGAGAGAAATAGTGTTGTGACGTCATCATCTGAACACCTGGATCCAGCCAGGTCACCTTTTCAGTTATGGGAAACAATAAATTCTATTTAATTAAGATAGTTCTGTGTTAAGAGTTCTGTATCCTACAGCTTTAAGTATTCTGATATCACCTTTGCATTCCAGGACCTCATGGGTTGGGTCCATCCACCTTATCACTCCCCTCCAGTGGATTATCACCAATGCTCAAAACACTCATTGTCCCCCAAAGCCTGTCCCTTTCTTTCCTGCTTTCACATCACTGATTATATTATTCTCTCATGAAAGCCTACCCATTCTTCAAGGCCCATATTAAGTCTCTCCCCCTTCATGAAGCCTTCCTGGACCATTACAGTCTCAAGGGGCATCAAGCGCCCTTGTCAGGTCTCTGCCTTATAGATTTCCTCTTTCCTGACAGCTGGACTGGAAGGCCCCTGAGGGCAAGGACTATATGCTGTAAATTTGCTCCTTCACAAAGCACATTGTGTTCATTGTATTTGGTGAGGGAACATTGCATAAGAAAACATGACCCCCTACTCCTAATGAACTTATAATGTAAAAAACAAGATATAAAGCCTGTCAACATAATAGTGTATGTGTTCAAGTGGACATACAAATTTCTCTCACCACTCTACTACAGAGCAACTAGAAGCAAACAGGTGGGAAAGAACGAATAAGGGACAGCCTTCCCCTTTTTAAAACAAAGCCCACCTACCACCCCAAGGTTATTCCAGAGGCAACTTCCTGGCAATAGTGGTGGCACTAGAAATCTAGGTGAGAGGACCCCAGAGGAAGGTAAAACCAAGGTGGAGGACTGAGCTACAGTGTCTAGTCAGACGTCACCATGAAGGGAAGATCCTTTACAGGGCTAGCTGCCATTTTTGCTACAGAGACAAAAAGAACAGGAAGCTTCCAAACAGGGCTGCTTACAGGCCCTGTGCCTTCAGCCCCATTCTCAGAGCCATACAAACCCTTAAATAAGATGGAACCGCAGATGTCTCTTTTAAAGTTTTTCATTACCAAACTCTTTAGACCACATTTTCCCCAAAGTGAGGAACTGATATCTTCTCAAAGTGTGTCCCTGACAGTGCTTTCACTTTAGGCACCCCATTCAAAGAGGAGACATTTTCTCCCCTCCATGCACCTCCCAACCCCCATTAAAAACGCCACTCCTGGGGTCCCTGGGTGGCTCAGTCAGTAAGCGTCTGCCTTCAGCTCAGGTCATGATCCCGGGATCAAGCCCCGCATCGGGCTCCCTGCTCTGAGGGGAGCCTGCTTCTCCCTCTCCCTCTGCAGTTCCCCCTGCTTGTGCTCGCTCGCACGCTTTCTCAAATAAATAAAATCTTAAAAAAATAAAATAAAATGCCACTCCCAAGATTTTAAGCTATTTGAAACCAAGGGCCAGAAAGTGTATTCGTTCCTTTGTCTCCCCACAGAATCTTGAGACCTATGAATTTAGTGGCTGATGGAGTGGACATTTGTGGGGGAGACGTCAGCTGAAGATTCTCTAGTTATTTTAAGAAAACTGCTCTTCCCCAAGATGCAACCACCTCCTCCTCTGTTCCCCAAGGTTCTCTCCTTGCTGCCCTTCACACCCTGCATCTTCTCATCCGTGAGCCCCTCTAGGCCCGCACTGCCGGCTCTGCCTCCATGTCGTGAGACGCCAGGCCCTGGGGGCCAAGACTGCTCTCTTCTTCCCCTTCTGCCAGCTACCAGGCCCCCACACCACTTCCCGTTTCCCATACCCTCAGACTCTTCCACGCAGTACAAGGCTGAGCTTCCTCCACACTGTCACCTGGGTCCCTCTTTTCTCAAAACCCGTCCAGGATTCCCCACTGCTTATGGTGCCTTACATGAGCCCCTCTCACCTTTCTAACCTCTTCTCTCACCACATCCTGGCCTCCAGTTGTGCTTCTGCTCTTGCTATTCCCTCAGTGGGAGTTCCCTACACCCTACCTCCAAACCCTCACTGCAAGCCTGGCTCAAGCTTCCTCCTCCACGAAGCCTTTCGTAATCGCTCAGGTCACAACCAGCCTCCCCTCTTGGCACAGCACTTTCCCCAACTGTCCATTAGACCACTTACTTCACTGCCTTTTTGTGAACAAGTCCATCTCCTGAACTAAGAATATGAAATCCTTGGAGACAGGGCCGATGGTCATCACGTTTCTTCTCATGGGGCCTAACAGTGCCTTGTATACAACACAAGGTGCCATTTGTAAATGTCTGAAATGAAATGAGAGAGAACACATTCCTAGCTCTCAAGAAAGATGTATACTCTTCCAAAAGAACAAAAAAAGAGCACCTGAATGGGCTGCCTCTCAAAGGGAGCCCGAAGCTCTTTTACCATGATATCCACTCAGGGCCCAGTGTGTCGGCTGAAGGAAGGGAAAGTGGGTAACCATGAGAGGCACGGACACTAGGGAGCTCTTCCACAAGTTACACTCCTGGAACTGACTCACATGCCTCTCCCTGTAAGTAATCATTCCCTGTGGTTTCAAAAGAAAATGCAGCTCCTTCTGCAAGTCCTAGCTCTGAAGAAGTCTGTTTCTTCCCACACAATGGCTGGAGTTCAGAAGCAGCTTTCTCTTCCGCAGCTAACTAGCAGCTGCAGAGAAGAGCTCAGGGTTTGAAGTCAGGGACTTGGGCTGGAGGCATCTACTGCTCCTGGAAGTGGTATGGAAGTTGTCAGGACTAGGAGGGTCTTAGAGGTGAAAATGCCTTGCATGGAGTAAGCACATGCAAGTCCCCCCCCACTTTTTTTTTTTAATTACACACTTCATCAATTTCTCCTGCTTCTCTAAGAGGAAGGGAACAAACCAAATCAGGGAGATTGTGACAGAAAAATGACAGGGAGCCATTGGCATTTACATTCTTATTTGTAATTTGTTTTTTTGTTTTGTTTTGCTTTTTTTTTTTTCTAGAAAAAAAA